CATAAAAATAACTTTGGCTATGACTTCATAAAATTTCAACAATAAAAAGGGAAACAAAAATGTATAAAGTGCCAGTCTCACATGTACTGTCATCATTCTACTGAGCCCATATTAAAAAGGCTGTCAAATTTTGCATTGTGTAGTAGAACCTACTGTATCTAGATTCCCTTCCTTATAGCAATGCAGCAAGCAATATTTTTGCTCTGACCATTAAAATTAATCTACTATACATCTAAATTTACATACTGCACTTTCCAAAATCCACTGTAAGTAGTGTTTATTGCTGTGGTGACAATGACCTGAGTTCATGAATTATTCATTTATTCTTTCTATCAATCAATAGGCTATAAAATGCATCAAAACAAAGACTTTAAAAAATGAAACAATATAAAATTATACTACTTAATAAATTAACAATAATGAAAAGATTGACAGAAGAAAATCAACAATGAAAAGGAACAAAACTGTAGGGAGACTCAATTCAGCATATGATTAGGTCGAACTTCCTAGCCCATTGGTTGATCTGTTGAAATGGGTTTTTTTTTACTTTGAGAAATATGCCAAGCACCACTGTAGGCCTATTGTCATGTACTTTAATTAAAGATTGTCTATACCTGTACTGTACATAACCTGAAGAAGCCGGATTAGTCAGTGGGAGAAAAACATTGAACACTCATCGTCATATGCCACATAACGAGGTCTCGGGACTAAAAATATTAACTTGCTGATCCAAACTGATGGAACTGGATTACAATTGGAAAAGTGCATCATAGTTTTATAATCATTATTTTAGCCTACTGTATTATATTACATTATCTTTTGTTACTATTTGAGGACTAAATTTTATTATTTAGTTAAACGTAGAAAGTGTTGGTCACCTTTCGCATATAAAGCCAGCTTGCTGAATAACGACTCACTCCAGGATGACCTACTTGTACGTGAAGCAATAACATGGATCGTGTGAAATAATGTGCTAAAGTCAATGATGCCCAAGCAATCATGACAAGAAAATGATAACGATGATGAGGTGTTAGAATGTGTTGATTCGCTCTGCCACTTGATGGGCTACAAACTTAAATGCCTACATTCAACTGGCATTCATATGTGTCTCTACCTACAGTACTATACCTTACAAAAGACAGGATCAAATTACAGTAAATTTATTATTTTCAAGGGATGACCAGATCCACTATTGCTGATCCTTAGGGAAACTGCAAGTGCAAGAATTAAATTTCTATGTTCTTGCAGCAGTGGGTGCACTAACAAGCCAAAAATAAAATTGTTTTTTCAATGTAAAACTCATGATAAATACAGTACAAGAAATTCTTGCCTACAGTAAATACAAGTATTAGACAATTAATTAGTTTGATATTTGAATCACTGTACAGTACTAATAACTACAATACTATGCTCACTGCATCATCAACACAGAGCAGTCTATTGTACAAATGGTAATAATGTGGCTGTAACAATACACCACAATACTGTAGCCTCTATATAAAGGGTCCCAGGATGAAGGTGCACCATCAACAGTAGGTTTGATTTATTGAGCAGTAAAAAATCAGTGACAAGGTACCATAATAATGCTAGTTATAAACAAACATGTGTTTTATAACAAGCCACTGCCATTTTACAAAACAGCGGTCAATGTGTTTTTATATACAAAATCTATTACGATTCATTACCTCCACCAAAAAGGTTGTATTCACTGTCGTCTGTCTTTTGAGTCTGTCTTTCTGTCTGTCTGTTAGCAAAAAACTGATGAATGGATCATATAATTTACTGGAATGTTACATAATAATCAAAGAAAAACACCTTTCAATTTTCAGAAGAAAAGGTCAAAGGACAAGGTCAAGGAAATTCTATTTTTTTACCCTCAAACATAAAATAAAATTACGGAATTGCCCCATGTATTCAGGGCAGCGCTCAATAAAACAAACAATGTCTGAATATGGCAGGCGATTCCATTATTTTCTTGCAGGTAGGCTGCAGCACTCGAGAAAATAATGTGCCTGGATACGATGGGCAATGTTATTATTTCATTGAGGGTATGCTGCAGTTTCGTCCATCATCACGGCCTGCGTACTTTGGTACTGCGTTCAGACACAGGGTGGAGGTATAGTATGCACTCTACAGTATGCAGTGACTGCTCTAGTTGTAATGTAATTGGGCATGAGCTAAAATGGATGGTGACCACTTTGTGGGCTTCAGCATGTTTTCGTTTTTTGCCAGTTTGTCTGGACATGATTGAGTGCCATTTTCACATGAAAATAATTCCTTAAAATGTTCATGAATGCTGTGCATAAAACACATACTGTATTGAACTTTAAATTTTTGTGTTAAAAGATTGAAGATTTGTACTTTTACAAAAGTGATCTAAAATTAGAGGGGTTCTGGAATTAAGTCATAAATTGGACTATGAACGGTATTCCAAATATTGAATCACCATATTCCTAATCAATTTTAATTATAATTCTCAGTTTATTGAGCCTTTAATTTGTTGAAAGCTGCAAATCAATAGCCCTTTGCTCTAGAAGTAGTCTAGTACCGCCATGATGATATAATGTACAACATCTTCTATGCATACTGTGTCAGCTACAGTAGGATCAATAACTTGCTAAACAACACATGTCATAACCAATCAGTTTTTTTAATTGCTTTCTGATCCAGTCAAGAAAAAAAAAAAAGATTTTGGCAAGATAAAGGCAAGACTTTATTTATACATCTTGTTTCGAGAACATATTTTATTAGGAAGAAATATCTTAATTTTGAAGATTTCAAGGCAGCAGCAGGTGTAATAAAAATAGAGTAAACTTACATTTTTACAGAAATTTCCATTTTTTCGTAGCAGCAGATTCGCTAATTGGCTAAAAATAATTTTTTTCAACAAAAATCAACAAAAAAAAAAATAAAAAATTAGGCAGCATGTTCGCAGATCATGGTACAAAAAGTCTCGCCCAACAAATAAATTTCGAAGTATTCTCTTGAACCTAAACAACTGTATGACCTAATATAGACTATGTGCACAACTAATGGTTCTAAGACACCAATTTTGTCTCAACAACAACTTACCAATTGATTTTTTTTCAGAACCACATTATTATACCTCCATGATTACACTGTGTACCGGTTTTGATTATGAGGGTTAGTGGAACTGTTTTTTACTTGAAAAAATCATGACAATTTACAGGAAGTGAATGGCTATGACCTTGAGACTGAAGGTTAATGTTAACCACCAATCACAAAGAAATCAATCAATGATGCAAAATTCACACTATAGTATATGGGTCGCATTCTATTTTATGAAAAAAATTATATATAAGCCTTTTTACCACTAGTATACAATAGCAAATATCAAATAGTAAATACCCTCAACTAAAAATAATTTAAAATCCTACATGTGAAATTAACAATAAATTTTATTTAGCCTAAATACTCATCCATAACCACCATATGCAGCAATTAGATCAGACTATCATAGCTTGTATAAGACATGCTAAGAAGATGATTTGGAAATGCAGGCAGGGCTACTGAAAGACTTTTACTAGTATGTAGCAACAATGCAAGGCTAACCGACTAAAGTACAGTACTCTTAAACTACACAACACGTGCACAGATAAGCCCCTTTCAGATAGAGCTGCAATACTGCAATATTGCGGTAAGCACGCCGACATGAGTTTCTGTCTGAAAGTGTTGGTACACCAATACGCTGCCTTATTTTAGGCCACTTTGCACCGTAGTAATATTGTCACAATATTGCGGTGACGGTTACTGCCTTGCTCTATCTGAAATGGTGTACTTGATAATGCAGCAATCAAGCCGGCATGTGCATTTACGCATAAACAAGGTTAAAATTGAAAACAATTGCGCGGTGGTATTTAGACTGCTAATATTAGGCCATTCTATAGGAGCTTTCAGACAGAAAAGCATACTGTAAGATTACCGCAATATTGTGGTAACAAAGGCGCTGTGTGAAAGAGCATAGACCGGTTATTATGTTGGCATGCTTACCGCAATATTGCGGCAATATCTATCTGAAAGATGCAAAATTTTGGCCATAACACATACCTACAACATACCTATAACTCTATGGGGTTTTTGAACATTTCAACAATTTTAACTTTGTCAGACTTGTCTCAAGAACCCACATCAACAAATATAGTATATAGGCAAGAACCTTAGTTAAAACATTGAGGTAAATTATACTCCATGGTTAAACACTCAGATATTTACTCTGTAACTCAAGTCGATAGCTATCAATTAAAAATTCGAAAGTGAAAACATTTTCCTCACCAATTAACAGACACAATTTCTGTCGCTACATTCTTTAAATACTGTTTACCATTAAATTGGCAAAACTTGTACTGTACCTGTAATGTATTCAAGAGTATACAATAGTCTCCAAATCAGTGAATGTTTTTTTGATGTACATCTCATTGAATGTTTCGTATGATTCTTTCATTTACTGTAGCTCATTTAATATTTTCAAAATTTCATTGAATGTTTACTTTTTTTGGTTTTTCTAGCATGTAGCTATACTTCAAATTCCAGTTAGTCATTTTTCTGTAATGTTTTATTGCTTTCAAGACTGTTTTTGTGTCTTTTAAAGTTTTTTTTTTTTGTTCCTCACAGAAATATTGAAATCAGAATTTATAAAAACAACTATTCTATATTCCGAATAATTCAGATATTTTAAAAATTTACGCTTCAGGAAGATCTCACAGTACTAATTCAACATAATTCAAAGAAAATTTAAATTATATACTGATTGTTTACAAAATATAATATATAAAATATAAGAAAATAATATAAAAGTTATGATACAAACCAAAAGTTAGAGAAATTCATAGAATGAGGGGTTTAAATTATGAATGCCACAAAGATACTAAATTGTATGGTTTTTAAGTATAAACCTATATGGAAAAAATCAATCAAATGGTTATTAAAAAAAAATAATGTTATGTTAACTTAATATTAAAATTGAATAAAAATGCACTTACCATTGCTGGATTTTAAATCTCTATGAATAAGTGGTACAACTGCTTCATTATGAAGATAATTCATTCCTACGGCAATTTGCTTTGCCCAATCAACTAAAACCTCTGGTGGAATCTGTCTACCAGTTAATGCCCTATTTAAAGCACCGCCCCTTGCATAATCCAAAACCAAGCAAACACATGGTTCTTTGGAACAAATTCCTTTCAACGAAATTATATTTTGATGCGACAGTAAACTAAAAAGTCTTGCTTCCTGCCTAACGTTCGATATAGTTTCAAATATATCTTCATCAGGATCATACTTTGCCGCCTTCACCGCCACCTCCTCATTCTTCCATAAGCCTCGATATACTTTACCAAATCCACCTACACCGATTACTTCGGATAAAATTAACTCCTTAAAATCTATTTCTTGAAGAGTAACATTTTGTTGGTTGCGTAGTAAAACATGTGGCTGACTTACGTAGTTGCTAGGGAAGATTCCCACTTTATCTTTTACCGTTCCAGTCCACCATCCATCATCACCTGATACCGAATGATCTTGAGATATAATTTCCACAAGGTCACCTTGACGGAGTGAGATTTCATCGTCATTTGATGCATCATAATCGTACATAGCTGTACAGAGAAGGCTTGTACCTTCTTCTCTCTGCACCCCGTTCCCTAGAAAAGATCTTGGCTGATCCCATGGTTGATCCATGACGTTATTATGTTTTGACTTCAAAACAGACACAGGGCATTCAAACGTTGTTATCTTCATTCATAAATTCGGTATTTTTATCTTCCTATTTATAATCTCAATTTAAATGACAACTGCGTATTGATAACGTGTATGTCATAGGCAAAGGCCTAGTAATAAAAGTAGAAAACATTTCCATTCAAATATATGTCGAGCCTCTACTTTACCCACAAAGTCCGTCAGTTGAACCGAGAGATCAACGCCTATCGCAGCGCTAGCCTCCCTTCTGATGACGATCATTGGAGGCTTAGCAAGTTGCTGAACAAATTTACGTGTCAAAAATACAACATAACTAATGATACATTGTCGAAAACTAACAGAAATATTTACGTATTTTTTAAGCACATAAGAATATACAATACTTAATATACAAAGCCAGAGTACAATGATGTCTAAGAACCACAACAACCGTAAAGTTATAGTCGAATTTATAGTCCGGTATCTAGACTGCCTTGTCTCCAAATTCAGTCATTTCGGCTTGGTTGACAATGTACCCTGCATGTACTTTGACCCTCGCGGATAAGAAAAGAAATCTCGATCGATATGCGCGACAGACGTATTATAGGTGGCGCTCCCGCTTTTATTTGGAACGTGACTAGACTTGTTTGTTCGATCTTCTGCCGATTCGTGCCCATTACTAAATGCTGTAGTTTCTAAAACAATGATAATATAAAATAAATTTTTAATCCATGTACTTTAAACTTCATGCAATTTTAAATTACATGGATGTTAATGTTATAGGGATTGCTCGGAAGTTAGTGAGAGAGCTTGGTGGTGTGTAAAAAGGAATTATTATTTCTTTAATAATGATGATTGCAATATTACCATTACCATTTCAGAATTTACCATTACCATTACCGATCATTCGCGTTACCAACCGTCGCTACCATTATTATTTGTAGCTTTATTCTCTTTTGTGGGGATTTCATCCAACATTATTTCTTTATCTTTTTGTTACCATTTTATTTTTGTTGTCAAGGACATCCAAAAAATAACAAAAATATAAACGCACTTAAGGGGTCATTTCACTTTGGCTGACTATAATCTTTAAATAATTTCTAAATAATATATATGTGTTTTTTCTTTAAGGACACATTGTCAATTATAGTTTTCAATTACTGTAGGCCCTATTTCTGAGTTAATTAATTTTGTTTTGTTTACCCTTACTTTATTGTAGGGTTGATCATGATACAGGTGGTTATTCGAAATTTGTGATAAGTGGAAAGCATGTAATAAGGCAATTGCTTTTCCCTTTTCATGAAGTTTCAAGAAACTACCTGCCTCATCAGCAGCACTACTGCCTGTGTTTAGGCCTACTGTATTTCCTAGAGACCGTTTCGTTCGTTTCGTTTGTTACTTGTCGATGTTCTCCTTCGATGCCTGTTTCACTTCCTTCGCTTGGCACTCGTGGTTCGCTGTTCGATCTTCAGTTTTTGTAAGTGTATGAACTCAGGTTTGATCATGGAGGAAAATGGTTCTTGATTGTGATTTAGAGTCTTTGTTTTCAATTCATTTTAGAGCTGTAAGTTGGCACCCACCTTTCTAAATGTAATCAGTTGAATGTTCTGTTTTGTCGAGCCAATGTTACTAAAAAATGATTTCTTGTCCCGTATTTGTAGTCTTTATAATGTTTGTGTTGATAAAAATAATTCTATTGATTTTTTTTATTGTTTAATGTTTTACTAACAAAATTTTCAAGATTTTTAAATTTCTTCCTTTTGTTTTTTTTTTTTTTTTTTTTTTTTTTTTTTTTTTTTTTTTTTTTTTTTTTTTTTTTTTTTTTTTTTTTATTTTTTGTTTTGTTTTGTTTTGTTTTTTTTTTTGCCTTGTGAAGTCGATTTGAAATGATTTTTTTCGTACTATAATTTTAAGTAGTTTAGGTTCCATTCTGTAAGTGGCGGGTTTCTCACTGTTGAATGAGGATCTAAATAAATAAACATGTTTTGTTTAACGCAATTTTTGTTATATTATGTAGTACATAGGAATCTTTATTTTGTTTTCTATGAATACACTAAATGATTTTGAGTGCCTCTGATCTAAATAAATTTCTCACTGTTGAATGAGGATCTAAATAGATAAACATGTTTTGTTTAACGCAATTTTTGTTATATTATGTAGTACATAGGAATCTTTATTTTGTTTTCTATGAATACACTAAATGATTTTGAGTGCCTCTGATCTAAATAAAACATTGAAATGAAATAAATAGGCCTGTGTATGTTCGAATAGTAAGTTATGCGTGTTTATGTAGAGCATCTGTTGTCATATGAAGGGATCCCACCTATAAAATGTGACAGTGATTAGTTGCTTTTGGTAATGTTTAGCTATGTACTAAAGGAATAGAATAAAAAAATAAAAATAAAATAGAATTATTTTATCTACCATCCGTTTGACCCGAAAAAAGATAATATATGGAGTGGAGTTAGTTGTAAAATAATTCCATGGATGGTTGTATTGTGGATGCTTGTCTTTTAATTTAAGGTTTTCCGGCTCGGTGGACAGCAGGACTATAATAATAATACTGCATATATAATAGTAATAATAATAACAATAACAGTAATAATAACATTAATATAATTAATAATAATAATAATAATAATAATAATAATAATAATAATAATAATAATAATAATAATAATAATAATAATAATAATAATAATAAATGTAAGTACTGTACCATGACGACAATAAATGATGATGATAATAATGAAAAATTAAAAACGAAATAAAATAGCCTACCAACCGACCCCGAAGTTCCAAAAGTATCTTCTTAGAAAATACAAAATTCTTTTATTTCATTCGCATCCAATCGCCAATCATACACAGGATGGACGATGCTTTAGATCAAATCTTTTAACCTTATTCAAGTTGCATATATATATATGTATATATATCTGTCTCTTATACACATCTAGATGTGTATAAGAGACAGCAGCTATGATTGGTCGGTCTGAAGTGGAAGCAGCCATTGAAGAGTGCAATGAAGACTGTCTCTTATACACATCTAGATGTGTATAAGCTACCATTATACTACTACTATTATTATTATTACTATTGTTACTATTATGTTGATGTTTTGTGGTAGTGTTTGTTGTTGTGGCTCTTCATGATAATGACTTTCATCGTTTAGACACGCCTACTCTGTTGAATATTCATCATCCTTTGGATTATCTTGACCTTTATGAAGATAATGCTTGCTTTTAGCAAACACTTTAACGGTTTAAAATTTATAAAATTAATTAATCTTAATATGCATATATTGTATTCTATTATTTTTGTTTTTTAATTTTGTTTTTAATCCAAAATTTATATTTTAAAATATTTAAATATTTTTTCTTGTTGTTTCCGCGCGAAATATACAAATGAACTCAACTCATGAAAAGTAAACACCAAATAGATAATACTAATAGTCACATTTTATGGTTGTTCTATAAACCAACTGGAGGAAATTCGTGTAAAAATGGCAACTAAGATGAAGCCTATTATCATCTCTGCGTTTAAAATGAATGGATTGTCGCTTAGAAGGTATAACTCATGCTTGTTTGTTTGAATTTCTAAACTGGAACAAGGCTGTCAGTCAGGGTCAGGTCAGGGCAGCTGGGTGTAGCCTAGGCTAGACCTCCTAGGCCTAGCCTACCTAGCTAGGACATGCCTGGATAGTATTTAGTAGGCTAGGCCCGGCATTCCGGTGGTATTCGGCTAGGCATAGGCTGGGCCTATACAGGCTGGACACTACTAGGGTCTAGGTCTAGCCTAAATATAAGTAGGCTAGGTATATGACGAAAAAATTTCAAATTCTTCAAGGAATTCCTTTGCAGCTACAGTTCCATTTGAAAGAACATTAAAAATGTAGCATTACATTGTATTGATACCACAAGATTATTGTCCTCCGTCAAATATCAACAGAGATACACAATTTAAGAAATTATTATAAATAAGGAACATCATCATACCTACCTAGGCCTAACAAAATTAACAAGCTAGCCTACCCCCAATTCGACCATCGTTAATGAATATGTGATTGGCAGGTGTTCAAGCCATATTTTGTTTTTTGGAGTTTATAATAATATAATTTTGATAATCTTGTCTTTTCAGGCTTTTGGATCATAAGGAATCTTGCATTTATATGTATTATTCGGGGCAGATCCAGAAAAATATATTGTGAGGGGGGAAAGCATTGCATCCGGG